GGCTCCTTTCACATTAGATGTTTGTCTGATAACTTGGTATGGAGGATTAAATAGAATTTCCAGATTTAGATGTGCTAGCCTCAGCCTGTCATAATGGAAGCCTTTATCTTTCATGACTGGGGGCCAGGAGCCAACACTTTGTCTTACACAAGTTGTGAAATGCCTTTGGAACCTACCTAATTAGCTGCTCATAAAGATTATTTGAAGGCTATGTCTTGGATTTTGTCCTCACTCGAGACCTGTCCATTTCTGTCCAGCTCTGCTTGGACGGCATGAGGTCAGAGCATTTGCTTCCGTGGTGGCCACTATCAGAATATGCTGCTTAATTTCATTACTGTTATGAAATGTTTGGACATCTGTCATCAGATATTATTGTTCTAATATTTGGATGACCCATTGGGGGAATAATCCAGGGGGAGTTTAAATAAGCCAGTGGAAGGAAGAGAATGTGTCTGCACGCCTTGCCAGGTGAAAGCACATGGGCCTGAATGGATCCTGAAGAGAAGACATTAGCCATATCCAGTGTCACAGACCAAGTGCCAGTAGTGGCAACAATTCAGTCACTAATGCTCAGTGCTGATGGATTGGCCGCTTTTTTACTGAAACTTCAACAGCCCACAAGGATTTGACAACCACTACTATCTTTTTCCACCTACCAGACGGGGCTGTGAAACTGAGAACAGCATTGTAGAAATCCTTGAAGGAGGAGAGTACCTTCTTCTCGCCTGGATGGGGCACTGTTCCAATCCCCTGACAGGCGCAGGCTCTGGAATATAGGCAGTTCCCCTTCACGCTTCCTGCTGAATTTATGGATGTGACTCCATGGGACCATGAGTGCGTCCAGCCAGCACATCACAGCATCGCACCTGCTCAGACAGTTCTCAATGGGCGTACCGACCATGACGTCCAGTGAGGGACCAGCTCTTGACTCCAGACAAAATACTCAGAAGCCCTCATGTGAATTTCAGCCTCAGGGGATGGGTTCCAGTCCCTTTATCCATATGCCAGAGCCACACAACTCTACCTGAGGGAACCTCTGGGGAGAACCCTTGTCCCCTAACCTTGTCATAAACATAAGCTGCATTCTCAGGCTCGTGGGGTTTCCTCCCTTCAGGGTCTGCATCAGTACTGAAGACCTATCATTCTACCAGGGTTAGCCCAAGAATCAGAGCCAAAGGAACTGCAATTGGGAGAGGCCAGATGCCCAGTGAATCAAACATGAAATACTGCATTTCCAGCTCTCAAGAAAGTTGATAATAAATGTATAACTTAACCATTATATTTGTCAACATTTACCATTCACCATGGGGAATGCAATGATACCGCTGCCCACGTGAAAAGCAGAAAAAACAACCTTGAACTGGTGTTACAGCTGAATGTTTGAGGGCCCCCAAAACTCCTGTTGACACCCTAACCCCCACGGTGAGGCATTAGGAGGCGGGCCTTGGGAGGTGAGCAGGTCCAGGTGAGGCGAGGAAGGTGAAGCCTGTGATGGGATTAGTGTCCTCATCCGAGGAAGAGACTAGAGCGCTCGCTCCACCACGTGAGGGTACAGCAAGGCCGCTGTCTGCAGACCAGGGAGAGGCCTCCACAGACACCCACTCTGCCCGCACCCTGATCTCGGACCTCGCGCTCTCCAAAACTGTGAGAAGGAAATGTTTGTGGTTCACTATGGGATCTTGTTACAGCAGCCTGAACAGACTAAGACAGTTGGCATGAACATCTTGAAATAATTGCTAATTTTTGAAGAAGAAGATTGTGTCTGAAGATTACGATTTAACTTGCGCAATGCAGAAGGTCCATTTTCTTATCACTGTGACACATAACTTTTGATCTAGATTAAATAATTGTTCTTCTCAAGTAAATTTGTTCATTTTTCATTCCAAGTTTCCTTATGCATGTTTGAAGAGTAAGGTGGTGGCTGTTGATGTGTTGGCATCAATAAGAGAAATAGTTCACGTGGAGAAATCATGCCAGTTTTATCTGTGTCACATACTTCAAATAGAAAATCAGTTAATTCCAATAATAATTAAACTTTCCTTTCATTAAGTTCATGGAATCAAAATAAAGCTTTTGGAAGTTCATTTTGTCAAAGGTGAAACATCTGACACTCTTGTGAACACACTTAAGTTATAAAGTTCAATGTTGATGAGAAAAATGTTTTTGCACAGCACAGACACTTGCAAATTTTGGTGGGATACACTGTTGTGTTAAAAATAGTCCTATTAAATTAAAAATCTATGGACTAGAAACGTACTTCCTCACAAAAGCAATTACGTCCTGACATGTCTACCTCCTTATCGCTTCTAAAAGATGTTCAGAATGCAGCACATTTGAGGCCGTGGTGATGTTAACCATCGCAATCACTAGTCACCAGCGGGCCAGCATGGAAAGCCAGCCAGCAGGTGAGCCCAGATGCTCTCCCTCCAGCCTTTAGCTTCAGTAGTCCCTTTTCTGTCACATTAATTCACGTAGACAAAATCCATACCAAGTTATTCTCCAGGTTTTAATACACTACAGATCAAACTGTTTCCTTAGTTTGGGCTTGATTACATGTATGTTTACCATTTTCCAGATCCAATTCTGTTCCCTTGTCTTTTGAAAAAGCTCTTTAGGTATGAAACGGCTGAATTCAAGTAACCATGCAACATGCGTTGCATACGCTATCCGAAAGATTCTAACAGATGGGGCTTGACCTAGCAGAGAACGCACCCCTCACGGGGAGCTCAGGACTGAACGTCTCCCGGCCAGACATGAGGCTTATCTTCTCGACTTGACCACCCAGGACCATTGCTCCTGTGACAGAGTTCATCTTCCAAAGATGACCGTTTGTTCTCTCACATTCTTTTTACAACATGACGTTGACACCCCGCTCATGAGGCAAGAGTGACACTATGGACTTCAGAAGCTGGGACATGAAAGACATTATGGCTTCTCTCTGGTTTTCTTGGGATGCTCGCCCTTGGAAGCCAGCTGCCATGCAGTGAGGAAGCCCAGGCCACATGGAGGGGTCACGTGTAAGCGTCCCAGTTGACCACAATATTCCAGCTGACAATCGGTGTCAAGTGCCAGACATGTGAGTGAATTAGCCTTCAGGAGACTGCAGCCTCCAGCTTTGAGGTCACCTCTCAGACCTTGGGGAAACAGATGAGCATTCTCCACTGATCCTGCCCAAACAGCAGTTTGTGAGCTAAATGATTGTTTAAAACCAAAAAACCTTCGAGACATAATTTATATTATTATACACCCATTTAAAGTGTATAATTCAATGGTTTTAAGTGTATTGAGAGTCGTACAACCACCATAATTTTAGATTATTTTCATCACCCTAAAAAAGAAACCTGGACTCATTAGCAGTTAATCTCCGTTTCCTCCAACACCCCTCCCAGCCCTAGGCAACCACGAATCTACTTACCGTCTCTAACAGATTTGACTATTCCAGACATTTCATGTAAATCAAATCATACACCATGAGGCCTTCGTGACTGGCTTCTTTCACTCAGCATAATGTTTTCAAGGTTCATGCACATTGTGGACGTTTCATTACCTCATTCCTTTTTATCGCTGAAAGTATTCCATTGAATGAATATACCACTTTTTATTTACCCCTTCACCAGATGATGGACATTTGGGCTGCTCCCGCTTTTTGGCTATTACGGATGACGCTGCTATGAACCTTCATGTACACGTTTCTGTGTGGACGTGTTGTCGTTTCTCTTAGGTATATACCTAAGGGGTGGAACTGCTGAGTCATACAGTAACTCACGTTTTATCTTCTGAGGAAGTGCCGGACTGTTTTCCAGAGTGGCTGCACCATTTCACACGCCCACCAGCAGAGTATGAAGGTTCCAATTTCTCATCAACACTTCTCGTTGTCTTTTGTTACTATAGCCAGCCTAGTGGGTGCCAACTGGTATCACTGTGGGTTGATTTACTTTTCCCTGATGGGTAATGATGCTGAGCAGCTTTTCACGTGTTTCTTGGCCATATGTATATCTTCTTTAGAGAAAGGTCTATTCCAATCCTTTGCCTGTTTCTAAATTGGGTGTTCTATTTTTTATTATTGAATCGTAAGTTCTTTGTATATTCTGGGTATAAGTTCCTTATGAGATATGTGATTTGCAAATATTTTCTCCCACTCTATGGGTTGTCTTTACACTTTCTTGATGGTGTCCTTTGAAGCAGAGACATTTTAAATTTTGATAATGTCCAATATCTCTATTTTTTCTTTTGTTGCTTGTGCTTTTGGTGTCATATCTAAGAAACGATTGTCTAACTCAATGTCATGAAGATTTGCTACTACATTTTAAGAGCTTTATATTTTTGGCTTTTACATTGAGGTCTACAATCCACTGAGTTAACTTTTTTGTGTATGGCCTGAGAAGGGGTTCAACTTCATCCTTTGCATGTGGATATCCAGTTGGCCAAGAACCATTTGTTGAAGACTATCCTTTTCCCATTGAATTGTCTTGACCCTCTTTTCTAAAGTCAGTGACATTAAGGGTTTATTTCTGGACTCTCGATTCTATTCCATTGATTTGATATGTCTATCCTTATGCTAGTACCACACCGTCTTTATTACTGTAGCTTTGTAGTAAGTTTTGAAATCAGGAATTAGAAGACTTTTTTTTTTAAGATTGGCACCTGAGCTAATGTTGCCAATCTTTTTTTTTTTTCTGCTTTTTCTCCCCAAATCACCAAGTATATAGTTGTATATTTTTTTATCTAGTTGTGAGTCCTTCTAGTTGTGGCATGTGGGACACCGCCTCAGCATGGCCTGACAGCGGTGCCATGTCCGCGCCCAGGATCTGAACCAGTGAAACCCTGGGCCACTGAAGCAGAGCGTGCAAACTTAACCACTGGGCCACGGGGCCAGCCCCAAGGACTTAGTCTTCTTATTCAAGATTATTTTGGGTATCCTGTGTCCTTTGAATTTCCATATGAATTTTAGGACCAGTCTGTCAATTTCTCTAAAAAAACAAACAAAAAATCAGCCGGGATTTTGATAGAGTTTGCACTGAATCTTTAATTTGGGGGATTGTGTCATTTTAAGCAACTCAAGTTTTGGGTGGTCTGCTGTGCAATAACTAACACACCACCCCGCTTAGGGGAAGCTTCCATTTTATCATGGACGAAGAGGAAGGAGGGGCACTCGTTTCTGGAGAGAATATATTCTGTTTTCAGGGTGCCTCCCTCTAGACGGCCATGGGACTTTCCTTAGAACAAGGAGCCTTCAATGGTGGTTCTGTAGGGCTTCCGAGTTGAGCCCCTTCATCACTTCAAGCTGAGCAAGTTCTGAGTGTGGCCTCCACCGCTCACCCAGGGCTGAAGGGACTTTTCCGCTCTGGGAATGGTCACACGGCAACCCCCAGCCCTGGCATTGCTCTTCGGCTCCAGCCTGGGGTGCCTCCTGCTTAGAGCGGGGATCTGCGGAGGGAAACGGGGGCCCTGGCTGCCCGTGCCCCAACCCCACTCCCAACAGCAGCAGGCCCGGCGCAAGGGCCAGGAATGTGGTGGATGACCAGAGACAGGAGGCTTCAGCCAAGGCAAGAGCGAAGCCACCGCTGAAGTTGACAGCGTGGGTTCAAAATGGTCCACAGCGTCCTGGGAGCTTCTATTCTTCTCGGGGCGACTCTAATAGTACGTTTTTACCCAAACTGTTGATTTTGTAAATGTTTAGTGAGGGCATTTCTAAATGAGAGAAGACCCGCTTCACAGTGTGTGGCCCTCTTTCTCTGTCGTGTGTAGGAGAGTGAGGGCCACCTGCAGCCCCAGTGTCAGGGGCCAGGCTGGATTCAGGACAGGAGGCTGGGGAGACCTCATGAGGGCAGTGTGCACTGAGACCCGCTCAGCGCCTCTGCCCTTTGAAGACCCCAGCACACGGTTCTGCCCCTTTGGCAGGAAGCCCCCAGGCAGCATGGAGACAAGCCCGTGGTGCTGACTCAGGGCCTGGGCTACAGCCGGGTCAAGTGCCTGCTTTATTCAGACAGGAACTGCCGAGCAGGGCTCCGCCCCAGCCTTACACAGTGAGAAGGCCACCAGAGCAAGGCAGGAATCTACAAATTAACGTGTGGATCCAGACAGCCACGGAAGATCAGGCTGAATCAGCTTAAGGCAAACACTGGCCAAGGGAGAGAACAGAAGAGGGGACAGGAAAGAAAGAAACCGCTGGCGGCTTGAGCCCTTGGGGGCTTAGCGGAAGTAGTTGGGACATTCGTGGGCAACCAGGTGCCAGGCTTCATCAAAGGCCTGCACGACGGCCGGCTCCAGGGGCCCCTCCTCAGCCGCTGCCAAGTTCTGTGCCAGCTGCTGCATGCTGGACATGCCCAGGATGACCGCGTCCCCAAGGGCACCCTGCAAGGGGAGACGGCCAGGCGTCAGGAGACTTCTGCAACAGTGACTCCCGTCACACACACTCCCCCTCCCAGCCTCGCCCCTGCCAAGAGCTGCGATCTGCTGTTCACTTCTGCCCTACATAGCTCTACAGAGAATTTAAGGGGCCTTCCACAATTGCAACTGTGTGTCTGCAGACCCTGTCTTCTTTCCCCTGCTGCCACGCTGCTCATCCTCAGACACACCTCAGTGCAGAGCCCAGTTCTGCCCCTCAGCCGCTGTGTAAACCCAGCTGAGTTATCTAACCTCTCTGAGACTCAGTCTCCTTTTCTATTTTCAGTTGGTTTATGGGAATGAGAAATTATGTAAAGCACTTAGCTCCCATTTATTGAGAACCTACTATGTAAATGCCAGACAGTATGTCACTGAACAAGGCTGAAGCTGGAGAAAAGTCTTAGCCTGGAAGACAGGTGACACCAAAGAGAGAGGGAAACCCCAACTCCCACCAGAGGAGAGAGATTCATGGGTTTTCAGTCAAATCCGTGATAAATTTTCTACTCCCTTCACAGCTATGTGAACCGGTTTCCTCATCAGTAAAACTAGGACAGTCACACTTCATCAGGCCTAAGTAATTAATTAATGATTAATTCCGTGTCTGTAAAGCCCTTATGACAGAGCCTGGCACCTAGACAGCTACTGAGAACAACAGGAACACTGCCAAAAGAATTGGAACAGGGAGAAATTTCAGAGGAAAGAAACTATTTAGAAATCATGAAACTATTTAGAAATCACCTCAAGGTAATTCTGGCTCCCCTAAAAGAGGAGAAGCAAAAAAAAGAAAAAAAGAGGAGAAGCATCCTTAAAAGAGACAGCTGGGTTACCTGGAGCTGGGAGTGGTGGTACATCCACCGGAGGGCGGCCGAGGTCATGCTGGGGGCACTGGTGCCATCCGCAGCCTGCAGGGCCTTCTCCACCAGGGCAATGGCCTCGAAGTGGTGCTCCTTCCAGAAGCTGGGCAGGTGAGGGGAACGGCACAAGGGTTAGTCCCATGGGGTCACACTGGAGGGCCACAGCCAAAGACTCAACCAGGGCAGCTGCACCCACGCCAACCCTGTAGCACAGAGGGTCAGTGTCCCCTCTGGCAGTGAGTCTCCTGCTTTACTCGCAGCAGAACCACCCATGATATTGGCTCCCTCACCAGAAACCCCAGCGACATCTCCTCCCTCAGGGCGCAAAGCCTGCCCTTACTTGACTTGGTAAAACAAAGACAGCTTGTACAGGGGGCAGGCCTCGGCCCCAGGCCTCCTGAGCCTCAATCCAGGGCTCGCTCTTTCCTCTTGGCAGGTGATGAGCACTTCTCAGGGAAGAGCTATGACTTGGAAGACCTGGCATAAGGTCCAGGGATCCTCATTTCCTCACAGAGGTCCCAAGAAAACAAGAAGAAACCCCACAGAGGGATCGGTGATTCCTGCAGGAATCAAGAGACGCAGGTCCAGGCAGTAAGGCAGGGCTGGAGCCCCTAGGAAAGCAGCCTAGGACCTCTCCATCTCAGATAAAGGGGAGGCTCCATCCCGTCCATTTGCATGCAGCCATTCCCACCTCACCGATTCCTGTAGACCTCGGCCCAGTTATTCCCAAAGAAGCGGCCCGCAGGCTGTTTCCCGTCCTTGTCCTCGTACTTGTACTTGCCGGTCAGCAGGCCCCCTGCGGAAAGGCTGCAATCAGACCCGCTGGCCCGCACTGCGCCCAGAGGCTGCTCTGGACTGGGGGGGGGGATGGTGGGAGACCCCGGAGGGATGGAAGACAGCCCAGCCTCTGGTCACACCCGCCCTGCTTCCCAGGTCCTGGACCTGGATTTCCGGTCAGGAGTAGGCAGACACAGGACAGGGCCAGGAACGCCCTCCCCCAGGGGAGCCTGCCCCACTGCAGCCCGTACCAGCCAGAGGGTTGTAGGCGTAGAACCTCAGTCCAAAGTGCCTCAGGCAGGGGAAGAGCTCCGTCTCCACCTGCCGGGTGGTGGCGTTGTACATGCCCTGCAGGTAGAAAGCCCGGCTGGAGAGGGTGCCCTTGTTGACGGAGGGACCCCAGCCTTCTTCTTTTAAAACCTTCAGTCAAAATCTGCCTTTAGCAATGATTTCCAAAATCACTAGTGTTGGTAAGGGATGGGGAGATGGTGCTGGACCCATGGAAGGGAAACCAGACTGGATATATCATTCCACAAATATCTGAGGGTGCCAACCGTGGGCTGGACACTGGGCTTCCAAACACCAGCCAGTCCAGCAAGGTCTCTGCCTCCAGCTCCAAGAGATGTTAGAGTTGAGTGAAAAACACAGACAGAAGATAATGATCACAATAAAAGTGGATTCTACGATCATAGCAGATGCTCACAAATATTTGCTGAATGTAGTCTGGAGACTGGATGCTCCTCTGGGGTGTGGGGAAAGGCTTCCAGAAGGAGAGGCATCTATGTGAGCCTGAGCACTCCTGCCAGAGCATGACGGGAGGAGTGCTCAAGGCTAAAGTGCAGAACAAGGAAGCGGGAAGGACGGACAAAGGGCACATGCAGGCAGAAGGGGGAGCCCGCGCCAGAGCGAGCACATGCCTGCTGGCCAGGCTGAGGAGCTTGCACGTGACCCTGTGGCCACCTGGGAGCCACCTGCAGGCTGTGAGTAGGGGAGGGGCTGCTATGGGGAGGGCACAGGGGGCAGTTAGCAGGGTCTAGGGACCCCGGGATGAGCAGGCGCCCTGAGACGGAGGCCTCTGCAGCCCGGCCCTCACCTGGTACACGGTGGGCACGATCCAGCCATTGCTCTTGCAGAGGGTGCAGATCTCAGCCACCTCCCAGGAGGCATAGTTGGAGAGGCCCAGCTCCACAAACTTGCCCTGCAGGGGAGGCGGCAGTCACATCCCACTGCGGCCCGGGACACCAAGAAGGGTAGACAGTGGGGAGGGGGGCACCCTGGGAACTGGCGACAGACCCCACTCTGGGACTGCCCTGGTGTCTCCACTCTCCTGGGTAGTGACAGGGCAAGGAGAGCAACAGCAGAGCTCCTCCGAAGCTCAGGGGGCCGCCTTCACCTCCTGGTGCAGCTGGTGGCAGGCGCGCAGTGTCTCCTCCACGGGGGTGCTGTGGTCGGGTGCATGCAGGTAGAAGAGGTCCACCCGGGGACACTGCAGCCGCTTCAGTGACGTCTCTAGCTGGGACCGGACACAGTCAGGCTTCAGCGACTTCCCTTCCCAGGGATTGGCCTTGGTAGCGATTTTCACTTTGGGGGGAGAATGTAATGGTTGAGAGACTTATAACCTCTTACTAGCATGTAACCCTAGCTAAATTATTTAAATTCTCCGAGTCTGCATTCTCTAATCTGTAAAGTGGGGATATAACAATGGAACTGTCCTCACAGGGAGATCGTGAGGATTAAATAATATCTGATACATAACTTCTCCATGTTCGCTGCTGTAATCACTGTCATTAGTCACCAAACTGCTGGCTGTGCCAGGCCTTGCACCAGAGGCTGAGTTCGCAGAGATGAACTAACTGACTCTGGACCTCTGCCCTCCGGGAGCTCCCCCATCTAGCAGGCGATGTTACAGTATGGTAAGTGCACTAGAGACAAGCACCTCATGCTACAGGAGCCCAGAGGAGAGGTGTGTGGCTCCACAGCCAAGGAGGAAGGGTGGCAAGCACAATGCATAGCGTGGGAACATGGGCAAAGTCACAACAGCAAGAAAACACAGCATGTGAAGGGCCGTCATGAAGGCAGGGAGCAGTGGCACATGAGACAAGCGAAGGGGCACAGACCTAACCCCAAAGGGCTTTCTCAAACACCAGCATGCAAAGGTTTATGACTGGACCCGTCAGCCAGGTTCACTCTGGCTGCAGTACAGAGAAAGAACTCAAGGGGGCAGGCCTGGAGACAGCCAGAGGAGTAAAGAGGCTGCCAGAAGAATTCAGGAGACACGCAGCTGCCTGAACACCGGGCACTGGCAGAGGTCAAGCTGAGAGGCAGGTAGAAGGCAAAGGAAGCAGAAGGCAAGTGTACGTCCCCCTCCCCTTGCAGACTCACAGCGTCTGCACATCCACTGCAGACCCAGCCTCCATGAGAACAAGACAGTGTTCTGCCACGCAAACAGCTTAGTGCTGGAAAGAACACTGGCTGTCTGGACTGACGGATGCGGGGACTGTGCACTTTTCACACTTGGCAAAGGCAGGTCGGAGGGTCGGAGGGGAGTCATCAGACCATGGGAAATGAGAGAGAACAAGCCCTGTAGCTTCTCATCCAGATTTTCTCCATTCCCCAACATTTCTCAGTTCCCCTGCAACGTCGGTGTGAACTTTGCCTCAGCTCCAACCTGAGGACTTGGGCTCAGTGAGTGCCTGGACTCAAGGAGGAAAGAAAGGAAGGGTTGGAGGAGAAAAACCAATTCAGAAACAAAATCTTCACTATCAGGAAGAGGCAGCCAGCTGAACTAGAAAGCGGGTGCCTTAGAAACGTGTTCCCGTTCTGTTCCTCCAGATCCACCAAGCTATGGATCCAAGGAGGACTCGGGGGCCCACGGTGCAAGGGCTGGGAAGGGAGAGGCTCAGGGTGGAAGAGAGGAGGCAAAGTGTGGGAGTAATAACAGTAGCTACCGTTCACTGAGCCCCACTGTGTGCCAGGCACCCTCCTAGGCACCTCGCTAATGTAATGAGGGACAGTCCCTCCCACACATACACATCCTTCACTCAAGCCACACCTGCCTACTGGACATCCTTCCACACACGGGGCGCTTTGCATTTCCAAGCCCAGACTTTGCGCAGCTATGCCCTCAGCCTCAAATGCCCCTTTCCTTCATTCTCTGCCCAGCAAACGACTATTGGTCCACTAAGGCCCAGCTCCAGTGTTCTCTGAGCTTTCCCTAGTGCCTCTCTCTGTCCAGACCATCCTCTCCTCCCGCCAAAAGTGGTTCCTTTTCTATGATCCTCAGTGATCATTTGCTTCAATCTTCCCCGTTAGACTCTGAGCTCCCCGGAGGTGGGTTAGAGTCACCTTCCTTCCTATAGCCCCATATCACAGCCTGGCACCAGGCTATAGGAGTGGACAGAAAGGCCTCACGCCCTCTCTCACACCTTCCTACTCCTCACTCTACCATCCCTGCTTCCCCAGCCGGGCCCACGGCGTCGCTACAACTCTCCCTAAGAGAGCCAGGGGTACCGCCAACTGAACAGAGCAAAGTCTAGAGCCTGACCAAAGACCAGGATGGGAAAAGGGCGCTCCTGGAGCGCACGGGCCGTGAGGACAATGCAATAGGGAGAGGTGTAGGCAAGCGCCTGGAGCCCGGTTATGGGCACCTGGGCGGGATGAAGGGTGAGCTGCATAGCTCCGGAGACCAGTGTTGCAGAACCAAGAAAGCAACGGGGATAAGAAGCGAAGGACTAGAGCAGACTCAGGGTAAGACTCGGGGATTCGCGAGCTGCAACCCCCTCCCTGCAGGAAGGTAGAGGAAGGTAAAGGGAGGGGAAGGAGGTCAAGACAAAGCCCTGGCCGGCTGTCCGGGCCTAGATGTGCTCGGGGCCCGAGGAGCTGGGGTTCACAGAGCTGCGGGGTGGCCAGGGGAGCATGGCGCCCTGGGAGGGGGCGAAGGGGTCGGTCCTGACCGCGGCAGGTGCACGGCTGGGGCCGGGTCAGCGCTGCACGAAGCGGGGGGGAGGCCAGGGGCAGGGCGCGGGGGCCAGGCCATACCTTTGCAGTCGCCGCCGCCCAGCCCGAGCCCCAGGCCGCCCAGGATGCTCTCGGACTGGCCGTCGCTGTACATGAAGGCCGTGTCCAGCTCGGTGTGGCCGCGCTCCAGGAAGGCGCGTACGGCCGCGGCGCTGGCGGGCGCGTCCATGCGGCGCCCCATCTCCATGGTGCCCAGCACGGTGGCGGGCCGGACCCCGGCGTCCGAGGCGGCCCGCGGGGTAGACAGCAACCGGGACATGGCAGCGGTGGCGGTGCGAGCCTCGGGCTGCCCGGGGCGAGGTGCGCAGCGAACCCCGGCGCGAGCCACCGCACGAGCCACTGCACGTGATGCGGCGGCCAACATGAGGTCTGCGCCTGCGCGCCGGGGTGCCTCGGGCCCCGCCCACCAGCCGCGGGGGAGGAGCCCCTGAGGCCGCAAGGGAGCGAGGACAAGGTGCGCGCCCGGCACACACGCTCGGCCGGCTCGCGGCGCCTCCAGGGACCGTCCGCCAAGTGCGCGGCGCAAGAGGCGGAGCCGGGGGCTCCGGGGAGGGGCGGGGAGGGGAGGGGCGGGGCCTCGGTCAGCTGACCCCGGCTGTGAAGACCGAACCCAGAAGCTGGGCCCGGGCGGCGAATCCTGACGCGGTGAGCCGGGATAGAGGCTGGGGGCCAACGCGAAGGCCGCGGGTCGGGACTCTGGGGCTTTCCTGCTGCATCTTTCCAAACCCTCCTGCAGCCCCTGCGCGGTCTTGGGGCTCCTGTCCCGTCCTTGGGGCGCGAGATCCTGGGACGCGGCTCTGGGCCGGGATTGGGTGACTCCTCGGGGGCAACTAGCATGGCCTCTCGGACCAGCCTGCCTAGGGGTTGGGGTCTGGGTCCCCTTTCACCTCCTAGTCCCTGCCGACGGGCCCCTTCGCTTCTGACGACTTTGTTTTCCCCAGGCCGGGCCAGGGGAGGGGGCCTCGCGGCCACTGTCCCCAGCGGCTGCCCTGTCATTATCCCCGCCAAACAAGCAGCCCGCGCTGGGCTGAGTCACCAGGAGGGAGTTGTGACCCAGGACCCAGAGACCTGGAGTGGGCCGTGTCCCCAAGCCGGACGCCCCTCCCCTCCGTGTACTCCCCGGGTCTGCAGGGAGCGCCGACTGCCCCCTCCCCACGCCGTGCCGAGGACGGGTTTCCAAGTGTGTACATAGAAAGTCTGCGTTTGGACGTGTGAGGACTGGCACGGGTCTTGCCCATTCAACACTTAGTGAAGGCTGCTGTGTGCCAGGGACCCCCGGGGGGGGGGAGCGGAGAAGGTGGGGTACAGCCAGGACAGAATAATAGCCATCCCGGCTGTTACTGCTGAGTGAGTGCTAACCTGTGCCAGGTGCCCTTCTCATCGCTTGGTGGGTTTCTCCCGTTTAACTCTGCGGTCAGCCTAGGAGGTGGACGCTTGCCTTATTCCCCCGCTGTACAGATTGGAGAGGCTCAATCTCTTGCCCCGGAGTTCTGTCCTAGGAGGCCTGGGCAGGGCGGTTCCACAGGGTTTTCTCTTCAAGCCGAGGCCCTTCGAGCTCACAGTTACGTCTTTCTCCCTCCCTCCCTTCCTTTCTCTCTGTCTCGCTCTTTCTTTCCCCTTTCCTGTCTTTCTCTGTGCAGCTGGTGTGTCTAGGCCCTGAGAATAAGCTTACAGCTAGGGCGGGGCAGAGGAGTGCGTTTAAAGTGGTCGCTGAGGATTCTTCAGGTGTGTGGACAAGGGGAGGGCAAGAGACGACAGGTGTTGTCCAGTCAGCTCTTGCCAGGCCTCTTTGAGAGAGCAGGTTAGCCTGGGCCGCAGTGTCTCTTTCCCAGGCCCTGCAGGGGAAGAAGGACACTCCCGGGGAAGAGACAGCACGCGCAGAAGCCTGGAGGCCTGAGGAGTATCTGAAGACCTGGAGCAGGGGAGGAGACGGGTGGAGAGGGCAGTTCTTAGAGTGCCTCGGGGCTTTGCCTCAAGGAACTTGGCCTCCATCTAGTAGATCAAGGTGGTCAGGTCACTTGACCAGCTTCAGCTGGAAACCTCTCCCTGACTCAGCTTGGGGTCTGGCAGAGGAGCTCGGAGGTGGCAAGAGACACCTTCTCCACTGCAGCCTTTCTCAAAGTGTGGCCCCGTGCGCCAGAATCAGCTGGGGGAGCTTCTTGAGCCCAAGTCCCTGGTTGCCAGCCCAGACACACTGATCTTAATTTGTGTTTTTTTTTTAAAGATTGGCACCTGGGCTAACAACTGTTGCCAATCTTTTTTTCCTGCTTTATTCCCCCCACCCCCCACCCCCCAGTACACAGTTGTATATCTTAGTTGCAGGTCCTTCTAGTTGTGGGATATGGGACGCCACCTCAACGTGGCCTGATGAGTGGTGCCATGTCCGCGCCCAGGATCCGAACCCTGAGCCGCCACAGCGGAGCGCGCAAACTTAACCACTCAGCCACGGAGCCGGCCCCTAATCTTCAATTTTGAACGAGTGCCTTCCAAGGACCCCTGCTTTGGTCCTTGTTAAACCTGTGGACGCAGTCACGCTTTGTTGCAACCCTGGACATCTGTTCACTTAGTGCTGTTTGTCCAGGAGGTGGGCCCGTTCTCAGAAGCAGGCCTGGGCCCAGGCTGGCTCCCTACTGGGGTCAGAACCTGCAGGTGACAGGCTGTAAGCATAGCGGCCCTCAGAGGAAGGCGCTTCTGTCCGGGGCTCGGGTGTGGCTCAGAGTCTCCTGAGCCCCAAGGTGCACACGGTGCTGTGCGGGGACAGGGACCAACCACACAGTGCCCTGGGCCCTGTGAGCCAAGGTACCCCCTCAAGACACCCCCCTCCCTCACTGGGCACATGTCCACCGTATTTCTTCCCTAACCTGGTGATGAGAGAGAGTGAGCGCGCAGCCTCAAAGTGGTTGAGATACTGGTCTCTCCTCAAAACAGTCACTACGATGCGGTGCGTTGCGTCGCGTCAGGCACTGGGCTCAGAGCCTTGGTGCACTTCCTCTGCAGAACGACCCAAAGAGTGAGCGTCATTCTCCTCAGACAGGTTCAGACAGGCTACTCACTTGCTCAAGGCCGCTCAACCTTATCTGTAAAATGGGGACGGTATTCCACCGCCCCCCTCCCGCCACAGGGAAGTTACAAGGATGGCAGTTTACTAACGTGTGATGAGCTGCAGTGGCATGATCAGACTCTGCAGGGGAGGGTGGGGCAGGCAGTCCAATTAGGGGATCGCTGGGGAACAAAAGGACTTGATTTGAACTGCCTTTGGTGTTGCCAAGGTACAGTTCTTACCTGAACTGTATGATCCCCTGGGGTGGCCTTGCAGGTGCTGGTGGCAGGACATCAGGTAAACGATTCCAACATCAGCTGTGCTGAAAGTCATCAAGGTGGGTCCCCAAGGTGCAAGCAGAGGCTTCCAGCCACCCTTGCCGGGCCCTTGGAGATACTGCAGTGAACCAGGCAGGCGGTGACCTGGGGCACCCTTGCCTCCAGCTCGGGGCCTCTGCCCGCGGGTAGTCACGTTAGGGCTGAGAGCCTAGAGCTTCCTAAGAGAAGCAGCTGACTCGCTTCCTTTCCCTCCCCGACGCTCTCAGATGGCCGCAACCTCAGCAGTTCCACGGGTCCAGCCTGGGCCTCAGTCCTGGGCTATGACACAATACTGGGGGGCTAAGAAATAAAAAACAGACGCTTATTTCTTACCGTTCTGGAGGTTGGGAAATCAGAGCTCAAGGTGCTGTTAGGGTCAGTGTCCGATGAGTGTCCACTTCCTAGTTCATAGATAGCTGTCTTCTCACTGTGCCCTCACGTGGCAGGAGGGGTGAGGGAGCTCTCTGGGGTCTCTTATAAGGGCACTATCCCCGTTCATGAGGGCTCTGCCTCAAAACACCATTGCCTTGGGGGTTAGGTTCCAGCGCATTTTGGGGGAACATAGACATTCAGTCTATAGCACAGGGCATTGCTTTATGAGGGTCCTGGGCCTCCTGACACAAGTGGGAACTGAAGCGGGCTGGAGAGAGCTCAGCCCAGGCGAGCAAAACCCCTCTGAGCACAGGGAGGAAAAGGGAAGCCCGCGTTCTGGGCGTGAGAAGCTGGGCAGCTGTGCCAGACCACGGGAGGGTGCTGCCACGCCCAGGGACAGTGCGCCTGAGGAAGTGTGACATGGTGGCTGTGAGCTAGGGTTTGGGGCCCAGTCCTGGCTTTGACTCCCGGCTCTGCTGCTTCTTGGCTGGGTGGCCCTGGCAAGTCATTTCCCTGGTTCCTCACGGACGCATCAGTAGCCCGCACTTCACAGAGTCGATGTGAGGCAAAATGCGTACGTGCTGCAAGGTGCTTAGCACGGAGCTCAGTGACCGGGGCTGTGATGATTCTGCGTGGTAGGGGTGGCTTCAGCAGGCTCCACTTTCTCTCCCTTCTCTGGGACTGTCACACGGGCAGTCTCTGTCCAGGGTGCCTGGCCACCGGGAGGGGTCTTCCCTGCCTGCCACTGCAATGAGCCATCCTCTGGCTCTGTTGGTGGTGAGGATGGGGAGGTGGCTGTGGACTCCTTGTCGGCAGGTGTTCCACACATGTGAGCTCCTGGGAGATTCTAGCGCGCCACGCTTGGATCCCAGCCACCTGTGCAACCCTGGGCCTCACCTGGGCCTCATTCTGCACTTGCCTCATCTGACCGACTTGGGGGACGAGCCTTCTTTAAGTGAAATAATGCTCTTAATGGGCCTGGTCTCGGCAGACCCTCACAGCGCAATTTACAATGACAAAAGATTGGAAACAATCTAAATGTTCAAGAGTTAGAACAAAGGTGACGTTGTTTGAGGGCTCAGTTCTCCACACGGTGTTGATGAACTCATTTAACCCTCACAACTGTGCGAGGGAGGCACTGTTATTGCCCCATTTTACAGATGGGGGAACTGAGGCACAGAGGGGCTGTCGCAGCATTAACACTTGGTGAGCTGGCATTTGAGGGTGCTTTTCTCTGCCTGCAGGCCCAGCGCTCTGCCTGCATGTGTGGTGGGCACACGTTTGCTTCGATCTCCGTCCTTGAGGCTGATTGTGTCCTCTGGCTCAGGGGCTTGGTCAGTGACGCGTGATAAAGCTGGCATGGGGCCGTGACTGGGATCCCGACCTCCCAAGGCTAAAGGCCCCCTGTCTTTCTCCCTCTAGAGCCCTCCTCCTTCCATCCCTCCCGCAGCAGCCATGGTCTGGAAGAAGCTGGGCTCCGGCAACTTCTCTAACTGCCCCAATGGCTCCCGCCAGTGGATATGGGACGTGTTTGGCGAGTGTGCCCAGGACGGCTGGGACGAGGCCAGCGTGGGCCTGGGCTTGATCTCCATTTTCTGCTTTGCTGCATCCACCTTCCCGTGAGTAGTGGCAGGTGGCAGGGGTGGGGCAGTGGCTCCAGGGACTGCACAGAGGAGGGGCTGCCTGGCTGGCGCGGGCCTCTCCAGTCTCAAAACCGAGTGTGCTCCCTCCCCCACCCCCACTCACTGACTTCTAACCCACCGTGGAGGGCCCTGCACTGAACCCGACCCTAGGCCTTGCCTTGTGCTGGGCGATGCTGCAACAGATAAGAATAGTGGCTACTGTTTACTGAGTGCCCACGATGTGCCTGGCTCAGTTCTAAGCACTTGACATGTTTTTACCTCATTTAATCTTCCTAACAACCCTGTGAGATAGGCACAGTTACTATCCCTACTTTACGAGGAAACGGAAACCCAGAGATGTTAAGGAACTTGCTCTAGGTTGCACAGCTAGTAAGAGAGGAGGCGGAGGGGCAGGAGGGCTGGGATGAACCAGACACGGCCTCTGTCCTGTGACAGTCCAGTGGTGGACAAGCAGTGATTGCACAATAGTGTGGCCACTGCTGTGATTGTGGAATGAGGACATACTGTGATGTGGACAAGTCATTTCACTGCTCTGCGCCTCAGTTTCCTCATCTGTGAGATGAGATTGTTGTTCTCCAGCTCCCAGGGTTGCCATGAGGGTGGCATGGGGGATGGGTATAGGGAAAGCACCCAGCTCAGGGCCTTTGCACATGCATGCTGAATGCCATGGCTGGCCAGGGTGTGTGAGGGTCAGGGGGCAGGGAGAGGTGAGGTCGAAGAGGTCTTTGAGGGCCCTGTCATGGAGAGGCATTCTCCCCTGTTAGGAAATTTGCTCTTTATCCTGAGGGGAAAAGATAATCAGGGGCTTGACATTTTTTTAAATAGCTTTTTTGAGAGATAATTCATATACTATACAATTAGCCCATTTAAATGTGCAATTCAGTGGTTGTAGTATTTCCAGAGTTGTGTAACCATCGCCACATTCAGTTTTAGAACATTTTCATCACCCTAAAAAGAAACCCCAAAATAAATGAGCCCTTCCTCATTTCCCCCTAATCTCCCAGCCCCTGACAGCCACCCGTCTACCTTCTGTCTCTATACGTTTGTCTGTTCTGGATATTTCATATAATGGAGGCATACAGCATGCGGCCGGCTTCTTTCACTTAACATAACGTCTTCACGGTGCATCCATGTTGTAGCCATGTATCAGTACTCTGTTCCTTTTTCTGTCCGAATAATATTCCATTGCATGTGTCTACCATATTTTCTTTATTCACTCATCCATTGATGGACATTGGGTTGTTTCTACTTTGGGCTCTTACGATTAAGGCTGCTGTGTACCGTCACATACAGGTTTTGGTGGAGACGTATGTTTTACGTCTCTTGGGTATGGACGTAGGAGTGGAATTGCTGAGTCATGTGGTGACTCTGTGTTTAATCTTTTCAGGAACTGCCAGACCGTTTTCCAAAGCGGTTGCCCCATTTTATATTCTCAGCAGCGTATGGAGGTTTCAGTTTCTCCAAATCTTCATCAGCCCTTGTTGTCTTCTATCTCTTCTATTACAGTGTCCTAGGGGGTGGGAAGTTGGGTCTCATTGTGCTTCGATTTGTGTTTCCCTGATGACTAGTGATGCTGAGCAGCTTTTCATGTGCTTATTGGCCGACTATATATCTTCTCTGGAAAAAGGTCTCTTTGGATCCTTTGCCTGCTTTTCAACTGGATTGTCCTTCTTTGTTGAGTTGTAAGAGTTCTTTATATATTCTAGATACGCCGCCCTCGTCTGACGTAGGCTTTGCCAGGCGCTTTCTCACTCTGAGGGTTGTCTTTTGCCTCTCTTGATGGTGTCCTTCGAAGCACAAAACTTCTAAATTTTGCTGATGTTCAGTTTATCTATTTTTTTGCTGTTGCTTGTGCTTTTGGTGTCATATCTAAGAAATCATAGCCTAATCCAAGAACAACGATATGCGCTTATCTTTTCTTCTTTCTTACATTGATCTGATTCTGATGCGGATTCGATGTGTGTCTTTTCCCCAAACCATCAGGCAGTTAACTCACTTCTGACTCTACTTGGAGACAGCATCAGATCCCACCGGTTAAGGGCTCAGTCCTGGAAGGGTGCCCGCCCCCACCCCGCCCCAACCTCGGATGCCGGTCCCAAGTCCAGGCTGTCATCTGTGCTGCTGACTGCCCTGCTGCAGGTCGGAGCTTCCAACAGCCCCTCCTCGGGGCTGAGTCACTTGCAAGAGCAGCTCCCAGAATGCAGACATTTTACTTCATAGGTCACTGACTTATCCTAACAGAGTATAACTCAGGAGCAGCCAGATGGAAGAGTTGCGTAGGGCAAGGTATGTGGGAAGGGGCGCCGAGCTTCCGTGCTCTCTGAGTGTGCCACTCTCCCCAGATCTCCACATGCTCACCAGCCCGGAAGCTCTCCGAACGCCATCCTTTTGGGTTTTTATGGGGGCTTCATCACACAGGCATGGGATTAAATCATTGGCTGTTGGCAGTTGAACTCAAACTCTGCCCCGCTCCCCTTCCTGGAGGTCAGGGACTTTCACTTCCCCCTCTAATCACATGGTTGGTTCCCCTGACAGTCAGCCTCCTCTCTCCTTAGGTGACCTAGGGGCCTTTACCAAAGTCACCTAATTAACATATCAAAAGACACCTTTATTGCTCTGTTCACTTAGAAAATTCCAAGGGTGTTGGGAACTTTGTGCCAAGAACAGAGAAAACCAAATACATATTTTTTGTTGTAAATCCCAGTATCCCAAATGAGCTCTCACATTTCTTCTTTGATCCAGTTTGAGCTATATTTTGTATACGGTGCGAGGTAGGGGTCCAGCGTCATTCTTTTGCGGGGGAACATCCAGTTGTCCAGGTACCACGTGTTGAAGAGACTGTCCTTTACCCATTGACTCACCCCAGTGCTGTAAGGTCTGGACATTTTTGCTGAATCACCTCGTTCCGGGTGCCGTGGGAGGTGTGGTGCAAGACAGCACAACAGACCCTGTCTTTGCCTTTGCAGAGCTTCCATGCTGGCTCCCTCCCAGACAGTCTGAGAGTCACGGGGAAGAAGGACGGGGGGACAAGGAGAGGGGCTGGAGGCTGTGTAAGATGCCCAGCAAGCCATGATGTCAGGGGGCATTGGAGAGGCCCTTAGGAAGCAGAGTGGACAGGTGTGGGTGACCGACAGAGGTCGAGGGAGAGAGACGCCTGTCCTCAGCTGTGACCTTCCCCAGAAGTCTCTGAGGAGCTGGCCGAGGCTTTGCTTTCCTGCCACGGCATGGGGCTGGCCTGCCTGGGCCTGGCTGATCAACCAGTGAGGGGGGTCAGGGGCCTGGAGGGATCCCCAAGTGATGACAGGAAGAGCAGCCACCTTCCTCCTCGGGACTCGGCCTCTCCTGGGTTTGACAGAATCACTTTCCCTGCCGTTTATGAAGACACAGCAAGTCACAGCGTCCTAGAAGGAGCTTTAAGGGCCACGTGATAAACCTTAATTAAGGGCCTTCTCGGTGCCAGGCTTGTGCTGGGCACCATCCCTGCCCTCAGGAAGCTTGAGTCCAGGAGGGACGAGGATGTCCAGTGTTACAGAGGCGCAGGGAGAGGATGCTGGTGAGCTCACGTCAAGGAAGGCGCTGGGGAGGAACTGGCACTTCCTGAAAGATGGAGAAGAGCGGGTGGCAGGCTGTCTGCGGATGCAGAGCTTGGAGGAAGGGAAAGCAGTCCTGGTGGAGGGGGTGGGGCAGAGGGACAGCCGGACCCAGGGGCCTTGTAAGGGCATGCTCATGAGGATGTGGGTCCTTGCTGAAGAGCAGTGGAAGGCTCTGGAAGATTTTGGCAAGATTGGAGTTTTAGAAAGCTCCTGAGAGGGAGGATGGATTTGAGGGGAACAGGCTGGGTTAGGAGACCTAGAGAGGTAGGTGGAGGGGGCTCCGTGGGAGATGGCGATGGGAGGATGGCGGGGGTGGGGCAGGGGGAACAGCGCCCAAGCGCAGCTTTCCTAGGCTCTCACTTGGGTGAAGGATGGGGTGAGGTGCCATCTACTTACCGTTCATTTATTTAAATACACACAGATGATTAGAAAGAAATGGAACAGTGAATGGCAGTTTGTGTAATGGTGAAGAGCAAGACTGGAGCCTCAGGGTCTGGGTGTGAATCCTGCCTCTAGGTCTCCCTAGCCGTGTGACATGACTTGCGCGGTCCCCAGTGAGGTGGCTCGTCAAAGTAGACTTGACCTCCTAGGGGGCCGTGAGGACTGAGTGAAGGAATGTGCACGAAGGGCTCAGAGCTGTGCCCGAGGCCCCATTGCCACTGTCAGCATTGGACTCATGCTGAGACCTGGCCAGAGGTCCAGAGAGACAGTCCCAGCACCAAGGACCTTTAGGAAAACACTCAAGGTACCGAAAGCCGCCGGCTATTGTAAGGAAAGCCAAGCTCCAGGAACGACAGTGCCCCCCTTTGTCTGTTGCCCTTTGAAGATAACAGGCTGTGGTTCAGCCCATCTTATCATCAACCGCTCCTGGAGATAGGGCAGCGCTCAAGCCTTGGGCCCACTGCCACCACCGCTATCCTTCTTCGAAACCCCCACACCCTCCATAGAAGAATCCAGGGTTCTATAAAGTGGTTCTCAGGGCCTAACACAAAACCTCAGGACCCAAAAAAACCCAGGTCCCCACTGGGAGACCCCAGGGTGCTGTGGAGGAGAATCTGAACAGTGCTCTGGATCTCTCTGGAGAGTGCACATCCCATAGTTTCCAGGTTGGAAGGGAGCCCCCAAAGGATCAAGAAAGGCTCGCGAGGATTCTGCCTGCGGGAAGGATTGGCTCGCGGGCGACCTCCCGTGCTTCCTGCCCCTGCGCTGCTAGTCTGTGGTTGTGGTTGTCTCCTCCGGGGCTGTTCCCTCCTTGACGCTCCAACGCGGCGTCCGAGTCCTCGGGCCTGAGCGTGTGTCTCCCTCCTTTGCCACAGCCAGTACATCAAAGCCTGCAAGACGGGCAACATGGACCAGGCCCTGTCTCTGTGGTTCCTCCTGGGCTGGATCGGCGGAGACTCCTGCAACCTCATTGGCTCCTTCCTCGCTGACCAGCTGCCCCTGCAGGTGGGCCGGCCCCTGGGCAGGGTGGGCTGCCTAAGACAGCCATGGCATAGGCACTGGGGCAGCCAGCAGGGGAGGCCTGGGCTCCAGAATCCTGACCCATCATCCCATCTGGTGAGGGCCCCACTCTGTAAAGAGAGCCCTCTGCCTTGCCACACAGTATGACAGCGTGCTGATCAATGCCCTTTTCTGGGCCTCAGTTTCCCCATCTGCAGAATGAACACATCCAACCAGAGGATCGCCGGGCTGTTTTGCCTGTGAGGTGCTGTGGTCCTAACTAAGCTTTCAGGGCAGGGAGGAGGAAAGGAGTTTTCCCCTGGAGGCCCAGCTGCCATCATCCTCCTGTGGTGAGACAGAGCTGGGTATCACAATCAGGAAGCCATTGTCTTCCCAAGCAGGACTGTAAAGTCCTGGTTTTGGGTTTTTTTTTTTTTTTTTTTGCTGAGGAAGATTCACCCGGTTGCCAAACATCCTCTTTTTGTATGTGAGCTGCTGCCACAGCATGGCTACTGACAGATCCGTGGTATAGGTCCACGCCCAGGAACCAAACCTGGGCTGCTGAAGTGGAGCACACTAGGCCACCAGGGCTGGCCCTGGACTATAAAGTCTTAATTGCTCCTGTATCAGGCCAAAACAGAGCCCTCACTTCCTGCTTGCATCCCATTTTGTCCTGACTACTGGAGCTAGCCGCCATGTCCTGCACTGCCCAGGCCGGGCCCTCTGCCCACCTGATCTCTGTGCCAGGTAGGAACTGTGATCCCCTCCTTTCTAGAGGAGGAAACAGCTCAGAGAGGTGAAATGACTTGCTTAGGGTCACCCAGGTGTGTTGTGGCAGAGCACTACCCCTGTGCCAAGGTGTGGTCCTCAGAACCTGGGAGCGCAGCTCACGCCCCAGGCCCCTGCTTCTCTTACAGACATACACTGCGGTGTATTACGTCCTGGCGGACCTGCTGATGCTGTCGCTGTACTTTCATTACAAGTCTAAGAGACGGCCCTCTGCGTGTGAGTACGGAGGTCCCTCTGTGTCAGGGCTCAAGGGGCAGCCGAGAGGGCCGGGAGCTTGGGAGGAAGCGGGTTTCCCGTTGTTGGGTGATAAGCCAAACCTCGGAAAGACTTTCTGGGCCTTATCTGAAGGCCTGAGCCCTGATGGGCCAAGATAGAGGCCAGAGGGCGGTGAGCATGTCCGGGCAGGGCCACAGGGAGTGCCCTTCACTCGAGTTCTCAGTCTGCAAGTGTGACTTCAGCAGCTCCTCTGTGCCCAACCGTGGCTTCGAGCTGAGGAAACAAGGACAGGGCACACAGACCATCACTGTCCTTGAGGATCCAGAAGGGATGATACCTGAGGTCAGTTCGGGGGCTATTCAAGACCGGGCACTTGCCATGGGGCTGTCTCAGCATTTCCAGTTTGCATAAGCCCCTCCTGTCCGTACTGCTCTCATCATTTCACCTCTACAACCAGAGATACTGTTATTATACCCATTCTACAGATGAGAAATTAAAAGTCAGAGAGCTTAGGTCACTTGCCCAAGGTCACACAGCCACTGAGGGGCAGGGCCAGGACTCAATTCCCAGTCTGTCTGCTGCCACTCAGGTACCTAACCTCGGCTTCCCTCCTGCATCATGTCCAGCCTCGGCCCCCATCAATTCTGTGCTCTTCTTCATCTTGGGGATGGCGTGTATCACCCCGCTGCTGAGCAGGACGGGCTCTGTGGCTGCCCCGAGGGAGGTCTTCCAGGGGCGGACACTCCTGTCTGTGGAGCCAGCCAGTAAGGTGAGGTGTGGGTACGCGATGGTAGAGTGGGGTGGGGGTTGGCTCATCCCAAGGGCCCACCCCTTCGTGGCCACGTGGGCGGGAGGTTGCCTTCCAGGAGGGGGCTTGGGGATCTCAGCCTGCACCTCCGGCCCCTCCAAGGCACTGAGCGCCCCCTTCTGCCCTCTCAGCCCTTCACTCGGCAGGAAATCATTGGCTTCGTCATCGGCTCCGTCTCCAGCCTGCTGTACCTGCTCTCCCGGCTGCCCCAGATCCGCACCAACGTGAGCCTCGGGCAGGGACGGGTGGGGCCGCGCGGCAGAAGAGCCGGCCCGCAGCTCAGGCCCTTAGGGTTAAGGGGTGGCATGGGGCGGGAGTCTTCGTGCAGAAGGTCTGCGTCCAAACTCACTGTTGGCTTGGGCAAGTTAATCCAATTCTCCCAGCCTCAGTTTCTGCCTCTGGAAAATGGGCATGCTGATGCCCGCCATCAGGGGTCCAGGTGACCTTTGTGTGTCTCAGGGAAGGTGAGAAAGAGGGGCAGAGAGGAGAGGGGAGGGTGGGGAGTCAGGGAGGGGGAGGCTTGCTGGGCAGCGAGCATCAGCATGGCGCTGGAGAGCAGGCGTGGTGGGGCCAGCAGGCACGGGCAGCTGTGGTCTCCTGTGCACCTGAGCGGGGCGTCTGGGAGAAGTCATTGGACTGGGGATGGGGAGTCAGGCCCTGGGAGGGCTGGTCTGAGTGCCAGGCCCATGTTGGACACTGGGCACACAGTGAAAAATCAGCTCAGAGCATGTACAGTGTGCGGGGCTGATGGACACGTGGACAGTTCCAGTCCACGAGCCCTGTTTGAGGTCTCTGACCCCATGCGCCTCACCTCCAGTTCCTGCGGAAGTCGACCCAGGGGATCTCCTACTCACTGTTCGCCTTGGTGATGCTGGGGAACACACTGTACGGACTGAGCGTGCTGCTCAAGAACCCCGAGGTGGGCCAGAGTGAGGGCAGCTACGTGCTGCACCACCTGCCCTGGCTCGTGGGCAGCCTGGGTGTGCTGCTGCTCGACACCATCGTATCCTTCAGGGTGCGTAGGGCAGGTGGGGTGGGGTAGGCATGGCAGCGGCAGCCTCTGCCTGCACACAGCATCAGCATCCATCCATTCATCCACCCCTCCATCCACCCATCCTTCCATCCATCTATCCATCCATCCATCCATCCATCCATCCACCACTCCCCCCTCCTTCCATCCATCCATCCGTCCACCACTCCATCCATCCATCCATCTATCCATCCACCCCTCCTTCCATCCATCCATCTATCCGTCCACCACTCCATCCATCCATCCATCCATCCACCACTCCACCCCTCCTTCCATCCATCCATCCATCCATCTATCCATCCCACCCGTCCAAGAGTCAGACCTCGTGTGTGCCCGGCGCCCCGGTAGGCACGGATCCAGTAGTGAACAAGAACAGACACGGCCCTTGCCTCAGGAAGCTAACAGCTCAGTCAGCACACACGTAATTATCAAACAGTTACTTCGTTGCAGTGGCACTGAGTAAGTACCACAGAGAAAAACTACGAGAGTCTGAGCAGGAGACTGTTCTGGTTTAGAGGCTCAGCAGAGGCCTCCATCAGTGCTATTTAAACTGTGCCCTGAAGGAGAAGGAGTCAGGTAAAGGCAAGGGAGGGATGTTCTAGGCACAGTTTGTGTAAAGCCCCTGAGGAACAGGGAGAAAAACCAGCCCATCCATGCCAGAGGAATGAAAGCTGGAACATGGAGACATACATGCATTAGAGTCAGAAAAACCTGGGTTCAAATCCTGGCTCCACAGCTTCATAGCTGTGTGACACGGGGCAAACCCTTAACCTCTCTGTGCTCGCATATCTTTCTCTGCATGGTAGAGGTAACAGTCACTGTCTCACCAGGATAATAGGGCAGTTACATAAGATGAGGTACCCAGAAGCACCCAGCACACAGTGAGCGCTCAGTAAATGTTTGCTAAATGACTGAATGGGGCATTATTTGGATCTCATTTGGGAGAAAGTAAACATGGGCCTTGTTTCAACATTTGCTGAGTCCCTGCTGGGTGCAATGAGAGAGAAAGGAAATCTTAAGCTCTAGTGCCCCAAATGACCCCAGCCACTTGGTGAGCCCCCCAGGATGCTGTAGGGTGAGAGGAAGGCAAGATCCTGGGGCTGGGGTTGCGGGGGTGCCGCCTGAGGGAAGAAGACCCCACGCTGGACTTGGAAGGTGCACAGAGTTTGGCTGGGGAGGGGACCGTGGTCAGAGTGGAGGGGGGAGCGAGAGCAGAGGCCAGGAGGACGTGGCTGATCTTCCCACCTGCCGGAGTGGGGACGGGAGGCGGGGAAGAGGGAGCCACAGGCCGCCAGGGGCAGGTCCAGCCCACGCTCTGCTCGGTGTGGCCTTGACGTCGGGCTCCAGATCTCCATACAGTTCCTGGTGTACCGCAAGGCCGCCACCTCCTCAGAGCGCCAGCCCCTCCTCCCCAGCTGACCAGACCCCAGGCCAAGGCGACAAGGACGTCCAGGTGCCACACTCAGGAAGAGAGAAGGGTGGGGGCAGTCACGGTGCTGCTGACCTGGACTGGGCCGTGGAAAGAGCTGATGGGGCCTAGAACTCCCGGCCCAGCCGTCTGCCCTGTGGCTCCGAAACCTCTGTGGGCTGACTCTTCCGGAAGCCCTGACTAACTCTTCCAGGAGCAAGATGGCCCCCAGGGCCAGCCCGGCCCTCCTTGGAGCGCACCTCCCAGGGTCCAAGGCAGCTGTCCCTGTGAGCCTCGAGGGAGGGGCTGCGGCCAAGGCCTTGCGCTCTCAGAAGACGGTGAGGCTGCCCATCAGCTCACCTACCTCATTCTGCTGTCTCACCCCTGGGTGCGGGGCACCGCGTGGCCCGGTGCCCAGGACTGCGGCCTGGCGCCCAGGCCTGTCCTGCTGGCTGCAGACAGCCAAGTAAACGGTCCTTCCCAGCGGGGCCTGTTCTGTTGCTCCTGCCCCCGGTGCTGGGGTCTGGGCTGCTGTGGGAACTGCGGCGGGTGGGGATCTGGGCCCTACCTTCCAGGGCCCAGGCGGGACCTAAAGGGTCAGGGTGTGGGATTGCCGAGCAGGAGGGGACGGAGTCTGCCAGTCAGCCCCAGGGGCCTCTGGTTTCTTCAGCCTGCTTCTCTGGGACAGGCGCCACACCTGGTGGTGGGGACACTCCAACAGGGTCCCTGCACCTCGGCGCTCAGGAAGAAGCAGGATACTTAAGGTCCAGATCTTGGTTCTGTGTCTTAGCTTCTCGGTGCCTGAGTTACCTCATCTGTGAAATGGGATGACAGTATTACCACTTCATGGCCTTATAAAGTGGTGTCATTACACAGTTTAGCCCGAGAGTCTGGCATGTAGTAAGGAATCAATAACGGTTACCTTTGATTATTTTTAGTTGGAGGAGAAGGATGACCAGATCTCCCTGGAGATCAGGGAGACCTTCCTGGAGGAGGTGACATGGCAGAAGGATGAGCAGGGGACAGGTGGGAGTGCTGCAGGCCGGAGGAAGGGCAGGTGCAAGAGCAGGGGGAGGGAGGAGAGGAGGGCAGGCGCAGCTCTGAGCTCCGCTTCCCAGGCCCCAGCCTTACTTTGTCACCTGGACCCTGTTCTGTGTCCACTTCCCTGTTGGCCACGACCCTACGGGTGCCTGAGGACAGAGGGGCTAGCTCCCCTCTGTGCTGGCCGCCTCTCGCCCCCACACACCCCACCTCACTTCCCCAGAGCCACCGGGGTGGGCGAGAAGCTGCACCCCAGCGTCTCAGAATCTTCCTCTTGCAGCCCCCAGCAACGGGGCCGCAGCCTCAGCCGCGAGAGGGCGCCGTGGCCCAGTTTGTGCCCCCAGCATTTGTGGAACACAGCCCTCCCTGCTCGGCCCACACTGTGCAGGGGACCCTGGGCGGGGGGGGCGGTGAACCCACTCTGGTCCCTGCCCTCAAGGAGGGGAGACGGTAGCTGGGGTCTGGTGGGAAGGGCTGGGCCCAGAGGGTACAAAGTGCCATGGGAATGAGGGGATGAGACCAGCCCCAGGAGACTCAACCAGAGAAGGCTGCACAGAGGAGGTGCCCTGGAGCTGAATCTGGAAGGGAGAGGGAAGGGCAAGGCAGGACAAAGGAAGGGTGTGTGCAAAGGCCTGGAGGTGGGAGTCCGGGCTGCTCCCAAGGTGGCACCACTTATGAGGAGCCTTGAAAGCCAGGCTGACATGAGGACGGTCGTGGAGGCAGGGCTGGCTGGCAGCGGCTCACAGCAGGTGACTGAGTTTGGTCTGGGGAAGAGGAGCAGGGAATTGGGTCTGGGGAGACCAGGGAGGGGGCACCTCTGGAGTTCGGGTGGGCAGGGAGGGCCGGCAGGGCCGATCTCCCCCAGCCCTGTCCTGGGCATGCCTGCGGAGCCCCGGGTGTACCCGGGCAGCCGCTGACGTTCATTGAGCACTGGCTGTGTGCAGGGTGGGGCTGCGCACGGTCTCATTCAGTCCACCCAGCCCCCTCTGAGGTAGGTGTAGTCGCAGTGGCCATTTTACAGATGAGAGAACAGGCTTTGAGGAATTAAGCAACTTGCCCTAGGTGACCTTGCTGGGAGTGGCCACTGTGTGATTTGCATTAGGTCCCTCAGCTGCAGGGCTTGAGGGTCCTCAGAGTCCCCTCCCTCCCTCTGTTCATGGCTAGGGGTCCAGGGCTTCAGGCCGGGGGCAGTCCCAGCCTCACTCTCACCCTCGGGAGTGGCCCAACCCTGCTGGGCTCAGGCTCCCTTCCCACTGTCCTGAACCGTGACTCCCACAAGCTTCTGGCTTTGTCCCAGCAGAAGTGGCCCCCAGGCCCCAGCTGGCCCTGGACCGGGCTTGGTTCAGGTGCCCTTTGTCAGCCAGCTGTCTGGCTCCATCCAGGGCTGTGACCTGGCTCGATGCCACTTACCTGGAACCAGGTGGTGCCCTCCCAGCCTGAAGAGCTGGGGGCTCAGTATGGCAGCATGAGTCCCAAGGGCGGGCCTGAACTAGAGCTGGCAGGGGAGAAAGACGTGAACCCTCATGTCCCCTGCCCAGGAAGCCCTTGTCTGATGGGGGTGGCATGATCCCTTGCTCCTGGGAAGCACCCAGTCTCATGGGGCGGTGGCTCTTGCTTTCAGGCGCTGCCCAGTCTGCTGAAGTCTGTGGTTCCTTCCTCCTCAGGAAGCCCGGGTCTCACGGGGGAGACCTGGCCCCTGGCCCGGGGAGTGCCCTGATGGAGAACGTAGTTGTGGTGAAATGAGATGGGCTTGTCGGCTCGTGCCCCAGCACCTGACACGGGTGTGTGTAAGGGCCTGGGAAATAAATGACGGCCACGTGAGCTTGTCTACCCACAGCCGGGACCTCCCCAGGTTCCTCTTGGAGAACGGAGGGCCAGCCCGATTGATGGATTCCACCGCATGGGCTGGGCCATGCTTGCTGGCAGACGGGGCCTGGAGGGGAAGGGTCTCCAGGTGGATTTCCTGTCTCCCCCAGCTCACACCTCGTGCTCCTTGCTGCAGGCAAGGGCTGGTGGGGTCCTCATCTCTAGGTGTGGCCTGACGGGATGGCAGCCCCCACCTCCAGTCCTTCCTCCCGCCTGAAGCGTGGGCCCAGCAGAGTTCTGCACTTGGTTTCAGGTCCAGGCTCAGCTGAAAAAGTGGCAGAGCACTTACCAGTTGCCCTTGGCCAGGAGGGTTTCTCCCTTAGGACCTTGATGGGCAACGGGAGGCTGGACCAGTCACCCCCAAAGATCCCTACCTTGGTGGGTTATATTTTAGCTATTGAATGAGAAGCCATATATGAAAATGCCTTGCACGATGCCTGGCCCTGGTGCTCCCCAAATCCCAGGGGACGGAGGCAGGCAGGCAAAGCTGGCTGGCAGGTGGCATTCTCCAACAAAGCAGACGGAACAGCCAGCAGCCAGGTCCTCAGCACTCAGCCCAGGCCCTCCCAGCCCAGGGTTCCCCTTGGCTGTTTAGCAGACCTGGGACTTTTTGAAGCCACAGCTCAGACAATATGGCTTCAGTCCCCAGAGCTGAGAAAAAGGAGAAGTCCACAGCTCGCCCTCTCTTCCGCCCTTCTCCTGCTGACTTCACCGGAGCTGGAGGGTGGGACCACAGAGGCCCCCGGGGGGGAACAGCCAGGCGTCCCAGATGTCCCAGCACCCTATGGGGAAGGGGGTTGCCTTTTGCTTCAGATTAATTCGATTCACCTGATAACTACTGATTAGTCCCCCACCCCTGTGACAGCCCTGAAGACACGGCCCCCCACCGGTAGCACTGTGCCTAGCACATAAAAGTGCTCAGTAAGGATTAATTTTCTTAATAAGTACTTCTCCACCCCGACCAGACAGTATGGGCGGACTTCTCTTCTCTTCACCATCATATCCCCAGTACACAGTGGTGCTCAGTGAATGCTTGGTGAATGAATGAGTGAATGCAGTGAATGCCTGAAACACTGTCCTTCAGAGAGCCTACAATCCTGGGAAGGAGGCAGGCCTGTTAGCAGCGATCAGAGCTGTTGAATGGGTGCACTTTAAGATTTTTTTTTTTTCCCTTTTTCTCCCCAAACCCCCCGGTACATAGTTGTATATTCTTCGTTGTGGGTCCTTCTAGTTGTGGCATGTGGGATGCTGCCTCAGCGTGGTTTGATGAGCGGTGCCATGTCTGCGCCCAGGATTCAAACCAACGAAACACTGGGCCGCCTGCAGCGGAGTGCGCGAACTTAACCACTCGGCCACGGGGCCAGCCCCTGAATGGGTGCACTTTAAATGGGTGAATTGTACATGTGAATTAGATCTCAAAAAGGTTATTTGAAAAAATATCAAATTAGCTATTATTGAAATTTGAGTGGGAAGTGATGGGTAATGAGAATAGATTGCATCTTGCAACCCTTCTGCTCGCACACTGTTGCTACAGAGTAATGTGAATGCCTGATGGGCGTGAGGATGGTGGCCAGTTAGGTGCGAGGAGTAAAGGGTTTCCTTCACCACACTGGGCAGAGAGAGTCAGACACGTGTAGGATGGAGTCTGTCCGTCCCGGGGAGCATTTCGGAGCACTCATCCCAAACTGAAGAGTTTCACAAAAAAGGCAGAGACACTGATAATCAGAATGTGTGTCTGGGAAGGAATATTTTAAATGGCATGGAAAATAACTAAGAACAGAAAATTCAAATAAAACATTAAAAATATTGTACCACATTTAAATATTTCAGAAACTTAAATTTCTCTAAATTATGAGTTTATATAAAGTAATGTTTGTATTCTGAATGTCGTCTTTTTAAAAAGCTAATTGAATAACCAGAGTAGAAGGGATACGAATTATAACCAAACTTTTTATAAAACAAGAAAAAATAGCACCAACTAGTTCTAAAGAAATATCTATTTAACAGGTCATCTGCTTTCTAAAGGGCCGAGAAGTGAATTGCAAAATCAGTAACAGAGCTCTCACTCGAAATATTTTTAGTGAAACAGGTAAGTTTTGACTGAAGCAACAATTTGACAAGGCGTGATTAAGTAATCTGGTTTTCCAGCTGAAGGTTTTACAAATTTTAGTTATATTGAGAAAAGAAAATAATTATAAAATGAGACATTTTAACTTAATATTTAATTTCTATATTTAATTCATAACATTAATTTTTTTAATTTTTAATTTTTTTTAGGATTTTATTTTTTTCCTTTTTCTCCCCAAAGCCCCCAGGTACATAGTTGTGTATTCTTAGTTGTGGGTCCTTCTAGTTGTGGTGTGTGGGACGCCACCTCAGCGTGGCTCAATGAGCGGTGCCATGTCCATGCCCAGGATTCGAACCGACGAAACCCTGGGCCGCCTGCAGTGGAGCACGAACTTAACCACTCAGCCACGGGGCTGGCCCCCCATAACATTAATTTGTTTTCATCCTTTCTTATTAAATTTTAAAAGGTTTTGCCGTAGAGGCTTAAAAAACAAAAATTGATGAGAGAACAGGAGAAAAAGATCCTCTCTTGGAACTCAGAAGTGATTGTACCGTGCAACTTTGCTGTAGCTGATTATTTCTATTAGCTTTCTGGTGGATTCTTTAGGGTCTTCTATATATAGAATCATCGTCCACAAACAACTAGAGTTTTACTTCTTCCTTTCCAATTTGGATGCCTTTTATTTATTTTTCTTGCCTAATTGCTCTGGCCAAAACCTGCAGTACTGTGTGGAATAGCAGTGGGGAGAGTGGGCACCTTGTCTTGTTCCCATTCTCAGAGGGATGGCTTTCAGTTTTTCACTGTTAAGTATGATGTTGGCTGTGGTTTTGTCATATATGTCTTTATTATGTTGAGATATTTTCCTTTATACTCATTTTATCGAGTTTTTATCATAAATGGCTGT